GGATTAATTATTGATCGAGCGCCGTAGCTTCGATTGATCGTTAATTCGGGGACGCGTAATTAATTAATGCGTCGTGTCGGATGCATCGGACGCTTACAACATCCTGCGAACAGAGATATCGCGATGTTTCAGTGAAAAGCTCGCGGTGAATCCTTACGGATATGCGACCGGCCACCAATTAATCCGTTCGTCGAATTCGCGATGGAAATCGCACGCGCCATTATTGACCGTGGCTATCTTCGGATAATCTTCGTCGTCCCTTGGTGAATTAAATTTATTTAGAAACTTGTTCTTTCTTTTGATTTTATTAAACTTTCTTTTTCTTTTTTTGCAAGATAAATTTAATAATTTGAATAGTAGAATCAATTTTATTCCATTTATATAGTAGTATTCTATGGGGAATATTATTCGTATCAAATTTTTAGGTAAATTCGAAACAAAGAATTTCTTATGAATTTTTTATTCATTAAGCTTGGTGAATTAAATTTAGAAACTTGTTCTTTCTTTTGATTTTATTAAATTTGTTTTTGCAAAATTTAATAATTTGAATGGTAGAATCAACTTTATTCCATTTTTATAATAATATTATTCGTATCAAATTTTTAGTAAATTCGAAACGAAGAATTTCTTATGAATTTCTTATTCATTAAGCTTGATGATTTAAATTTATTTAGAAACTTGTTCTTTTGATTTATTAATTTTCTTTTTTTTTTTTTTTGTAAGATAAATTTAATAATTTGGATAGTAGAATCAACTTTATTCCATTTCTGTAGTAGTATTCTATGGGGAATATTATTCGTATTCCCCATAGAATATTATTCAAATTTATTATTCAAATTTTTAGGTAAATTCGATACAAAGAATTTCTTATGAATTTCTTATTCATTAAGCTTGGTGAATTAAATTTATTTAGTAACTTCTTTCTTCTGATTTTATTAAATTATCAAATTTTTAGTAAATTCAAAATTTCTTATGAATATCTTTCATTAAAGTTTATTAATACTGTCCAAAATTAGTGAACAACAGGAGTACGACAAAGTAAAATTGGAATATAATTTCAATAAAAACGATTCTTTGTTTAAAGGATAAAAAATAATTTAAAACAACACTTAAACGTGTTAATTGAGACACGATATTCCGACTTTTTGTACCGATCTTTCATCGAGATATTTTAAGAAGGAACGTCATATTCGTGCAACAACATCAGAATAGGATAAGAGGAATGAAGCCATCTCGAGAAACGAGAGAGGTTAAAACAGTGAAAAGAAGAACTCTCTTCTTGGGTTAAGGGCAAACAAAGAGTCATCCGTGTGGAAGATAATATTCGAGCGCGGTGAAGTCGAGGGCGGTTGCACAATGGGCAGAATTCCTGGGGAAACTGGTCTTATTATCTATGGAAACACGCTATTTCTTCGCTTTATATTCCATTAAAACGGTTGATCGTTCTTGTTCGAGAAAGTGTGGAATGATCCATTGTAGGAGGAGGGAAAGCGTGTCTCTTTCCTTCGAGATTCGTGTTTCCGCGTGAAAACGAACGGAATGGAGAGATTATATCGTGAAAAATGTGCGATTTATGCGAGTTTGGTAAATTTTGAGTTTAAAGGCGAAGATTGAAAAAATTATAAGAATTAATTTTACAGATATTTCAATGCGGAGAACGATTAAAATTTGACTCGTGAGGATACGGAATTGAAAATATCGATGAATCGAAATGTATCGATTTATAATCTTCAAAGAAGATTCAATTTCATTATTCAATTTTTATAGAATTTCTGTTCAATACTTGCTTGTACATTCAAGTCTTGATTATTCTTTATCGATAGCGAAGGTTTAATCAAATGCGTAATCAATTCTAATGGAGATCATAGAATTAATGAATGGTCGATAATGGTTATTCAGAGCACGTTTTCATCACGATTAGACAAGCCTGCACCTCGATTTTAAAAAAAGAAATCGCAATTAAATTGATAATTAAATTGAAATCTTGATGAATTAAAAATTTGATCGAATATATAGATTTATTTCTAACGAAATAAACATATATCCACTGAATCGAAATAAAATATAGAAAAACTTTTTTCAATGAGAAATCTCGATTTAAATAGAGTGTATTGAGTATATGTGAAACGTGGAGCTGTGAAATGTTCGAAACTTACTTTCGAGCCCACCAAGAAAAGGAGAATAGGGAAGGGCGCCACCAGTCGGGTAGAGTCCGCCGGCAAGAGGGCCCCGTTCCCTCGTAACCTCGAGGGTTTTTTTGACGCCAGGTACGGCGTGGGTGGGCCCAAAGCGGTAGGCTGGACCAGCCAGCCTTGTATCCGCGTCACGATTCGGTTTTTGTAACGAAATAGCCCCGGATTCCGCTTCTAACTCGCTAATCCGATCCCTCTCGAATCACCTTCCTCGATTTTCATTCTTCTCACTTTGTTTCTTCCTTTTTTTTTTCTCTCTTTTTCTTTTTCCGATACGTTTCTCTATATTTTCCCTATATTCTTCCATTATTATTTTACTATTATACGATACAAAAATAACGGAAATATTGAGGAGAATACGAACGATCTCTAGTAGAAATGCTCGCCCAACCTGTTTGGGGATTAAGATATAAGTCTCTTATTTTCTATCCTTAATAAAAAAAACTTAACAGTTGTTTCTCGTCTTTCTATATTTAACACTCATTTATTTACTCACGAAACGAGTAAATGACGAAGCTACGAATTTTCCTCGGACGATTGTTCGAAAAATAAATTTCGAAGAAATAGATCCATTTCGTACCACCCCTTACCCACTTCGTCACGTATTATAATAATCTCAAAATTCCAACTACAATACAGCGGAATAATGGCTCGGCGGAGGCGTTCACCCGACTTAATTCGCGGCTTCAATTATGCAATATCGCAAAACATATTCGAAACAATACACCTGGTGGCTGGTTTTCGAGCTGCTGCGCAAGACATCTCGTTTAGCGCGTGCCGCGAGCCTTGACACGATAATTGCGTCACGACATGTTGGTAATTGCCCGGCTTTGATTCGCCACTGCGTAAAGAACGTCGATTTTTGCGATTTTACGAACACGCGCCTTTTGCGGCATGCTTGATTCATTTAACGATTCGTTAAACGAGAATTATGTTTTATTTCTTCCGTCTGTCCCGCGGCGGGAAAGGGGTGGAGAAGAGGGGAGGCGAGAAAATGAAGACCATGGAAAAAATTTCAAGTTGGAGGTTAAATTGGAAGGAACACGTTTTTAAAATTTTAGGGTTGGAAAAAATTAAATCTGTGATTAAAAATTATTTTGATTAAAAATTATTATTTTTGATTAAAAATTAGTCTGTGAAAATTTTTAATTGGAAATTTATTCGATTTCGTACAGGTGATTATGCTCAAAATCTTGCGCTTTGTTTTGGAACGATCGTTGATTGATAATTAATACTATACTTTGTGTTAGGTTTCGATGAAGGAGGGATTGGAAAGAATAATGAAAAATCGATATTTTTAAAAAAGAATTCGAAGTTTCGATTCTTTCTTAGAATTTTTAGAATTTTAGAGTTGGAGCTGTGAAAATTTTTAATTGGAAATTTAATCGATTTTGTACAAGTGATTATTATTGATTGATAATTAATATTATACGTTTCGATGAGGGAAGGATTGGGAAGAAGAATGGAAAATCGATAAAATTAAAAGAGTTTTAAGTTGAAGTTTCGATTCTTTTTTTTTAGAGTTGCAGCTGTGATAGTTGTATAGATTCCTTCGTTTCGGAGTGATAGATGATATAATAAATATTTACCAATTTTTAATCAGACAAAGAACTCTTCTTGAAATTTTCACAATAAGGCGGAGAGATCGAGTAAATTTTGAATCGAAATATCCAACGTAGTTAATTTTCAAATTCGAACATTTTCTGTTAATCAATAGCAAAATCTATCGTATAAATCGTGGCAGTCAGACAAAATATCAGACAGATATATCGTGGAAATCTAATTCAAACCACAATCGACTACCTCCACCGACCATATTTGCGTTCATTATCCACGCGACTGGACCAATTAGCCGAAACGTCCAAAAGTCGAATTTGCTCATCCAAATATTAGGATGGAATCGTTAAACGATACGTGGATGTTTCGGTGGATTAATTAAAACACTCGTCGTGTTTACGTAAGCGGACTCGTGACGCTCGCGTTAAATCAACATAGGTGTCGACCCGATTATACAATCCGTCTCGTAACAAGCCAAGCAATTGCAATGCTTTCAGATCGTTGCGAATTACGTGTCCATTCCATTCGTTTCGATGGAATCGTTCCATCTTTCTTTCTCCATTCGTCGAGAAACGAAAATGTTCGATGCCGAATCTTCCGAAAAAAAGTTACAATTTTTCACGCGTGCGAAGAGCGTGTAACATTCTGGTTGGAATTTCATTTACGAATGAACGGGCTTTCAACGACGTTCGATTCCAACGATTTCCATTTGTTCATTGGTTCTTGCGCGATCACAAAGTTTTGATCATTCAATGTGAAATAATGGAAGAAATTTCGTTTAATGGATTGGAAAATTGCAATGGATCGTTTAATTGTCAAAGTTATTCGCGATATGTTTACAATGCAATCCGACGACTTTTGTTGTTCGAACAACAAACGGGGGTATTTCTGCGCCCCTGCACGCGAAGGCTCTTCCACGGTAAATACAAACGCCAGGGATTAATAGTAAGCTGAACACGGGCCAATTCCCATAATAGGCTTCATTCTCTTCTCTACCTGTTCCTAATACAAATTCCTAAACAAATAGATGCAAGAAATTGTGACAAACATTTAAACGTCTTCGAGAACGCAAACCACAAATCATTCCACGCTTCGATCCGATAGTCATCCTCCATTAAATCGCATCGAACTCGTCCTAAAATCTCCTCCTTCTCCTCCTTAAAAAAAAAAAAAAAAAAAAAAAAAAAAAAATAAAGAAAAAAGAAAAAGAAGAAAATCGGCGCAATACTCATCAAGACTCCTCTAATCCAGGTGCCCCCTAAGAGCCACGCGCTCGATATACCAAGCTCGAGCCGTGCATCAAGCGCGGCGCCACGATTGAGAAAGAGAGAGAAAAAGAGAGAGAGAGAGAGAGAGAGAGAAAGAGCATCGATCCGACTCTCGATCCAATCGGTCGCGGTTCTCGCCGAGAGGACTTTCACTCGGCGTCCGTTGATCGGCCGCGGCGAACGAGCGGGCGAAGCGGAAGGCAAGAGAGAAGAGGCGCGAGGCGAAACTCCGTCCCTCTCCGCCTCTGGTCCCGGGTTGACTGACCTCGATAGCGAAGGAAAGGAGGTGGCGGTGATCCGCGGGAAGCGAAGAAGGAGCGGGTTAACGGCGACGACGGCGACCACGGCGACGACGGCCGCGACAACGACGTGCGCGACGAGGAGTGGCCGAGAAGAAGAAGAGCAAATTGGTGCTCCCGGTAGCAGGGGCCCATGAGCGCAATGGAGGAGAAGTTGCGCGGCGTGGCGAAGCGCGGGAGCAGGCACGGTCCCCGCGCAACGGGGCCAGCCGCCTCCGATTGGCCGGCCGCGTCTGGGTCCGGTGGTGGGGGGAGGGGCCAGGCTACCCCCTCCAGCTCGCAGCCAGGCGGCTCTGCGTACAACCGCGGTCACGAGAGCCCGAGCAGGCGGCAGTCCTCGCGGGACAGCGTCGAGCCGACGGGCCAACAGGCCCCACCCGAACACGGCGAGCTCCTTTTCAAGGTCCTGCCCTCTCTCCTGATACACAGCGCCACGAGAACCTTTCGGCTCTCGAGAAAGAGAAAGAGAATCACAGGGATCATGTTTTTGCGCCTCGATCCAACCCTTACGGTAAACCGCGTTAAACCGGGTGTCCACTGGCGCGTGAATTGTTTGCGAACGAACGCACGCCAACGTGGATTTGCGTCAGCGGAGATCCACGGTAAACAAAAGTGGACGATTGATTTTGCTTGCTATGCTGTGTTGTATAGCGCGGAGAAGGAAATTTATTCGTGCTTTTTTTTTCTTTTTTTTTTTTTTTGGTTTGACGATGGTTTGAAAGGTACGTGGGATTTTTTTTTCTATTTTTATGCAATGGCACGGGGGACGAATGATTTTCTTTTCGCAAATTTATTTGCGAAAAGTTTGTTACGTGTTACCAGCAAATGCAGTTTAGTGGATACCCGGTCGAGTTTTCGTATAATTGAAACTCGATGATTGATGCGAGATCGATATGAGATATCGCGTGTGTGAAGTCTTCAGATTATATGGTTTGACTGATTTCTAGGAAAATTAAGAAACTTCGATGATAACTTTACTTTAATTATATGGTAACTAACTTTCGATCACGTTTCACCGTTTCCAAACGCAACTCTACGAGCAAAAATTAACTTTTCCAATCAAGAACAATCTTTTTAGCTTCAACTTATAAACTGAAAGCATGCTTGTAAGTAAGCTCCTGCACTCTTTTTTTTTTCGCAATCACGATCTTTTCAATGACTTTATTCTTGAAGGAAACCACTTTTCCAATTTTGCTCTTCTAATTTTAGTCTTTCCAACGGGGAAACTTAATTTCCAGAGTTACTTTATAACACCATTTGGTAGCCATCTTCTAAAATTTATGAAATATTCCTATCCCGGTAAATAGTTCGTGGAAATTACTTAATTTTATCATTTATTTCCATTTCTCCTATTATATGCTAATAATCCACATTTTTAACGATTTACGATTGATCGAGTATGATCATTTGATCGAACAATTTCACGATCAGATATCAAAATCCAAACGAAAACAAGGAACTTTGATTATAATTTAGATCAATAATTATCTTTTTTCGAATGCGTTTGGACACGAACTTGTTACGTGATACAATTCAATGTGAATCTTAAATTTAGTTTTCGTTAAATTAAACAAAAAAAAAAGGGGGAGGGGGATCGTGGAATTTTAATGATTTCGTTTCATTTTTCTCGTCATAAATAAATAAGAAAAATCGTATAAAATAAAGGATCACTATTTTCTTTCTATTATGAATAAATACTTTAAAAATTAAGTCATTTTATATAAAAGAAAATTTTATTCGTGAAGGATTATGGAAATTAGGAATATCGTCTTATTTTCATTCTATTAAGAGATATAAGTAATCAATTTAAAAACTGAATTGGAAAATAAATAAAATGATCAAACGAGAATTGGATTCGAGAAAACTTTCGAGAAGATTTCATTGACATTTTCACAGAAAATTTTTACACGACAATAGGTGATGCTACTAGGCGACAGCGGAGTCGGGAAAACCTGTCTTCTGACGCGGTTCAGAGACGGAAGATTCCTGTCTGGCAACTATATAACCACCGTCGGCATTGATTTTAGGGTGAGAAATTCTAAATCTTCATTCAGGAACATCGGAAACGAAAACGAAGCGATATCGAATCGATTATCGAGATCGGGTATTAATCACGAGAAAGCCAAGTGACTGTTGCGAAAATAGTTTGAAAAATAGAGAAAATTATTTATTGGACGGAGTGTTATGGATTGTTTCTATGTATTTTCAGAACAAAGTGGTCGTCGTTGACGATACGTCTATCAAGCTTCAAATATGGGACACGGCCGGTCAAGAGAGATTTCGAAGCGTGACGCATGCCTATTACAGAGATGCTCATGGTAATTATACTATGTTGATACAAATTTGTGCATGGTGTTGCCAAACAATTGACAAAATTATCGATTGTTTACGAGAAGTGGAAGTAATTTTGAATTGTTTATAATTCAAATTGTTATAGACTAAGTTAGATAAAAAGAAAACGTGTATAAATATATTTACAATTAAAATATATCCATGATTTTATTCAAATTTAATACGACAAACTATATCACGTATATTATATCAATTATAAAATATTTCATTAAGAAAGTAATTTTCAAATGGTCGTTCAAATTTTTCAAATTTGTTACAAAAAATATCTATTTTATAATTATGACGTTCTATAAATTTAATACGTTCGATTTTTTTTTTTTAATTTGCAAAATATTGAAATTGATAGAAAAGACAAATTGCAAAATATTTTAATTGCATTACCGTTTTTATCTAATCTCTATATTTGCATAACACGCTAATTAGAATCGCTAATTAGAATCGCTAATTAGAAACGCTAATTAGAATCGGTGTAATAATTAGATTAGATTAGTCACGTATAAATTTAAATACGTATTTCTTTTATCTTTCGACATCTATCTAATTGCTACCAGTTAGATATATAGAGAAATAATTAATGATATGAATAGCATGGATTAAAAGGAATTTTTCAAAATAATTTCCAGGATAGACAAGAGCTCGTTTCGCCTATACAATCAGTTTTCCATTTACAAACAGCTTTGCATCTAATAATCACGAGACAAGGCGATAGCGAAATTGCTAGTTGGACAACTTGTCTGGAGAAGCAGGAATAGAGGACAATAACATGACAATATTCATTGCGAGGCATAAATTAGCGGATTCTCCGTCGAGTCTATGATTTCATTACAATAATAATACCTATGTCATATATGTCTGTGAAACTAATTTTAACCACACCATACTAATCAAATCTGATCACACAGATTGAATTTATACAGTTTATTAGAGATTTGTAATACAAGATAATTTTAGTTTAATTTCACAAGTTTATTTATTGTGCGACATTTCTATTATATAAATCATGTATTGATGTATAAAAAATGGCGAACGAGATAAGCCAATTTATTATTAGCAATTATATCAAGTTTTTGCTGATCGACCAATGAAAAAGAATGGTTATCATGTAAAAAATTTACGACGTTTTTGCATAATTGATATGCAAAAAGATAAAAAAAAAAAAAAAAAAAATTGAAAAATCCACAGACTGGATATTATGTAAATTGTGTTTCTATATTATTTAACTACGTTTCAACTATCAGAAACGATTTCTTTGAAGAAAACTTTCTAGAAACAAAACTAAATGAAAGTACTTGGATAAAACGTAATCTTCTATTACATTTCAATTTAAATAATGCATGTGCATTTTGTTAAAAATTATATTCAATCTATAAATTTTAAAATGTAAAAGGGAAAATTAAAAAGTGAACGAAGATAAATTTGAATTAATAATAATTCTATCTAAATTCTACATTTTTATTTCTCAATTTTCAATTCTTTTCATCAATAGTCACACTTTTACTACCAACTCAGTAAAATGAATTTCCCTTAAAATATTTCGAAACAATGACTATTATTTCTATCAATATAATGATTATTTCTATCGATACAGTGACGGTATGATAAAAATTAGAAAAGTCAGTTTCTACTAACCTTTTATAATCTTTCAAAAGCAAACGCTATTCAATGAGACAAATTTTCCCTAAAATGTTTCGAAGCAATAACTATTTTCATCGATACGTGATAGTGATGCGTGGATAAAAATGAAACAAGACGTTTTTGCATCTCTTCATAATCTTTCAGGAAGCAACCGAGTACTTTCGCTACCAACCGAGTAAAATAAATTTTCCCTAAAATGTTTCGGTGCAATAACTATTTTCAACGATACAGCAGCGCCAAAGTAGGTCGTGGAACGATTCGAAACTGAAAGATGGCGTTCATTTTGGAAAGTTACTTAAGCGAATTCTAAGGGTTAAAGAGAGCGGCGAAGGAAACTCGGCGTCCGCCGTAGGGGGTCGGCCATTGTTTGCGGGGAGGAACCTTCTTTCACCATAGACGCAGCCACAACAATAGTCGGACGTCTCAAAGGCATGGTAACAATTACGACGTTTCGACAATAGTGTCTTCATCGTCGGATATTGCTCGAACGATCGAGCTTTCGTCTTGTGACGAGCTTTAAGCCACCAGAGAAAACTGAGCTTTTCATGGTAGAAAGAAGAGAAACAATATTCGATTCTTGGTTTCATAATCGATGTGGAACAAGTGAATACGGTATATTCGATGGAGATTATCGATAAGAAATGAACCTTTTACATAAAATTTTTTTCTCCTATTGTATTTTTATCCTATTTTTATTATTGGTATTGCAGTATTCTTAAGTCAGTTTTGTTCAGGTCTAATATTTATAGAATTATTACCTAGAAATATTTAATTATCTGATAGGTTTTTGGGTCTACAGCCACGTGTTCAGGTTAATGTTTTGTTTTATGATTAGTTTTATGAGTGTACAGTTATTCGCTACTTTGACAATGTGAAATAAAATTGGAAAATTATTCAGAATTTTATAAGTTTATAAGAATTTTAAAACTAAAGAAACTTTAATTTCAATAAAAACACAAATTAAAAGAACGCTCGTACGTTTAAAAGAATATTTTTCCGAGAAAATTCAAATTGAAGGAGCTGTATGCAGCAACTTGTTTCAAAAATTTCCATTCGAATAATATCCTGAGAGAGTCATTCTCAAGAGAACAAAGGCAAAGACACACTTAATTTCCTCGCGTTTCAATTTGCCAACCCGTGAAAATATTCGTTTCACGCGACGAAAACGAGCGAAATGGTTATAACGAATAACGAAACAAACGCGTGTAAATTCCTCTGATGATAAAAAAAAAAAGTGAATAAACGAGTTGTATGTGGTATTTTACGCGTAATAACACGTGAAACATCATATAGAAACTTTTTGTCTTCGAGTGTCTATCAATCGCGAGTATCACGGCCGATTGCATAACGACCATTATTCGTTTCAGCTCTTTTATTGCTATACGACGTGACGAACAAGACGAGTTACGATAACATCAGAGCCTGGCTGAGTGAAATTCGGGAACACGCGAACGAGGATGTGGTCATCATGCTATTGGGTACGTTTCGATTATTTCTAGACAGTAAATCTAGTGTCTACTGAAGAAGTCGATAGTGAAATCATCATTTATTTTAAGTCTGAACGACTTAGGAACTAATCTAGCAATAGCACTGTTCAACAAGGACTGCTGACTCAACTATGCTGCAAGATCTTGCAAATCAAGATTTTCTAAGTGGATAAAAGTGATCGGAATAAAATGTTGAATAAATATAAGATTAAATTCATTGTCATAGGATGATGTAACGCGTAGTTAAAGATGTATCTGTGTATCTTTTGAATACGAGTGAATAGGAAAAACGGAGAAAAGAAAGAGAGATTTTCTTTACCGTCTTTGCGAAAGAAAGTTGTCACGATGATCAATTAGTTTTTATACAGTATACAGTAGTTTCAACAAGCTTCTTGTTTTATTTTAAAAATCATAGAAAGACGTTCTAAATATATCATCGTTTGAGTTATTTAATTACTCGATTATTATTGGAATTGAGAGAACTGTTCTTTTGATCAATGAAACGTTCGAATTTTCTATCAGCTGGGATTGATTTCAGGAAGTAATTGCTCCTAAAAATAAATTGTGAAAAATTATGAGTTATTAAAACAAAAAATTTCACTTTTTCAAAATAAATAAAGTAAAGTAATCAGTTAACGAACACATCAACTGAATTTATATGTAAATATGTATAAAGTTTACTTAACTAGTAATACTAAACAAGTTACATATGTATATTACCCTCGAGATATCTCATTAAATCCATCCCATTAGACCAGTTCCAAACAAACATCTCAATCAACTACTAAAGCAAAATTTCCAGTTAAACGAGATCTAATAAATTGAAATTAATGTTTTCAGGTAACAAGTCGGACTGCGGAACTGAACGAGTGGTGAAGAGGGAAGACGGTGAACGGTTAGCGCAAGAGTACAAAGTTCCCTTTATGGAAACCTCGGCTAAAACCGGCCTGAACGTTGAATTGGCCTTCTTGGCCGTTGCTAGGTACTTCTGAATCCTTTCATCAATCGTCATCGATTTATCATTATTCATTAATAGAACAATAAATAAATGAAACATGTGGAACTCTAATTAGATGAAACTTCGCAGCAGCATAGTGTAATTGATTAACTGTCAAATTAAAAAAAAAAATAGATAAGCGAAACGACGTTGTTGCTATTTTGATGACGCTGTGTAATTTGGCAGTTTTATAATTATATATATTTATTATATATATTTATATATATTTATATTAATAGAATAAATGATATATGATATACATACGATGTTCCATCTTGTTTCTGGCGATACAAAGTTAGTGAATTGATCTTTGCTACCACATCAAAATAACATTGAACCTTCATCTGGATTGGATCCAACAATGTGCATTTGATAGTCATCAAATGTTATTTTATGTTATTTATATAATTTCAGAGAATTGAAGGCGAGGAAAAGCAACGACCCAGACGATACGAAATTCAACGTGCAGGACTACGTTCGTCAACAATCGCAACGAAATTCATGCTTCAATTCTAATTGCCTGACTACCTGAACTGCGCAATAACCCTGCGCGTACATTTCCCTGCGATAGATGGAGACGAATGGTGGAACATGAACCGGAACTGGTCATAAAAATGGCGCGAAACTATTTTGATCGTTCAAATATTCGTTTCCGTGATTTAGAGCGGAAATCGTTGAAACGTTACAGATTTTCATTTTATTCACGAAGAAAGATGCATTTTTCTGTGAACTTGTACAATTTATTTATTACAATTTTTTTATTTAATTTTTTTATTTAAACAAACCAATTTTCGATAAGAGTTCGTAAAATTATTGTATACAAGAGAAATTATTTAAATTGATAGGATCGAAGGCATGAATTTTAAAATCTCGAATCTCAAAAAGAATGAAAATACGTTTTTGTTCCACCAGAAAAATACATTTGTTAAGGGATAAAGAAATAATATAGACGAATAGGATGTCAATATTTTTGAAAGAAATCGATAGGAAACTCTTGTTGATGATACGTGTATAGAAATCTATTTATCGATGATTAATCCTGTACTGTACATTAATGTGAATAGTTAACGCGAAACAAAAATCTGCAATATATGACATAGATTTAGGGAATCTCTTCATGGTTCTAATTTGCACACTGAATATGATCGTTACGATGTTAGAAAAAAGCGAAAAAAAAAGAAGAAAAAGATTAAAAAAAATTTTACCTAATTTGGTATCGAGAAATTAATGAGATGTCATGTGAAAGCTCATCATGTACCAAGTAGATATATGGTTTTAGACTAACCGTTATGTAGAAGAGCTTTCCCAAAATATACCATAGCTGCCATATATACAACATGGTTTACTAAAAACGCTCAATATTTTGTTGAAAAGCTTATTCGCGTAGTTTTTAAATGTGAATGATTGAAATTCAGTTAAAAATATATGTATATGTATAAAAACATATTTATAAATCTTTTAATATTTATTTAGACTGATAATTGTTTAAAAAATTTTGTGTATTTGTATTTTATTTTTAATTTTTATCTTCTCTCACTTTGTTTTACAATGTGTGCGTGTAATCGTGTAGTTTTCATAACGTTCTTGTAACATTAGTCACGTGACTAACGTCTGATTTTTAAGATTTTCTATCTAATGGTGAATATATACGATACGATACGATATTTTCGATTAACTCAATTTACATTTCAAGTTTTTGGATCTTATACCTACTATATTATATCTATTACTTTTAATCGCACAATGATCATTTGCAATCGATATTTCGAAATTGATATAGAATATCGAACGTTTGATTTTATTCATTTGCGATTACTGAACAATTCATTACGAACACAAGGAAAAATGGAACGAAATATAATCGTGTAACGTTACCTGCAATATATGTGCAATGTATCTTATCAACATGTACAAATGACAAACAATTACATGTCAAATGTATATTGAGAAGTATATATATATATATATATAAAATAAATGACCACTCGACCAATAATATAAAATTGTTTTTTGACTTACCACCATTGCCTCTGTTTCCTTGTTTGTCACTGTCAATCGTTTGTAAGAACTCTCGAAACAATCCAACGATTATGTATTTATTGTCCACAATAAAATATTTGTCTCTTTTCTTATCACTGAATATATATTCTGCACATTTGACACTCGCGAATCATGACAACATTATGACTGATAAATAAATACTACGTTAAAAAACACACCGTGCATCTGCCTAACGCGCGCTCCTCTTCTAACTTGTTCCTTGAACCCTGGGAATGAGTCGAAATGGACCGCTCGGTCTCAGTTTCAAATGTCGACGTACAAACAAAACGCTGCGTCCCTAACCTGCTTCTGAGAAGCGCGTATCGCTGGCAGCCAGAACACCTAGCTGATATCGTGCAAGGAAGAACCACGAGTGTTTACGTCCATAATGGACGAAGTGATAGAGTTACAAAATATGGAAAACGTATGCAGGCTCTGCCTTTCCACCGACGAGCCAAAATCGTCGGTGTTCGAAGTGGAAGACTCTCCGGTATCGTTGGCCAATAAAATACAAGCGTGTTTGTCGATTCAGGTATGTCTAATATATTGTTATTTAGTAATCTTCTCATTCTTTTTAATGTTTCTTTCTTTTTTCGTATTTTTCAACTTTTTGCATATTATCTCTGTAATAATGCGGGTACATTGAGGTTAGGTCTATACTGGATCATGTTATAGATAAAAACATTGATAAAATATGACCATGAATTTCTTTGCTTTTTATTATTGTTGGTCATTGTTAGGCAAAGGAGTTTTTATAGCGATAATACTTTTAAGAAAACCCGACTTTTATTCAAATTTTGGAGCATACACATTTTGATCGGGTTCATGAACCTTTTAGATTTTAACGACGGACAAATTATCGACGAAAATATGCGCGCAATGTATTAAAAATGTGAATCAGTGGCATAATTATAAGGAAGTATGCCTACGTTCCCAAGATAAATTGCAACAATGGTTGGAACAGAATTTACAATCAAGCCCGATGGTAAGTATACATATTTTATTAATTTTGTATTTTGTTAATTTAATATATATGATTTTAATCAATATATCACTTTTATTTATTTTGTTATAGGTTGTAACAATTAAAGATGAACCTGTTGACTTGGACTTTTGTGAGGACAACATTGAAGTTATATCCGAATCTAATGATTCAGATTTGGTAAGTTTTATCATGATTCAAAACAGTGTTTAGAAAATTAAACTATATTAAATTTATGTTTTCCTCTGTAGGAAGCTACTAATCTTGAAGAGAGTATGAATTCTTTAACGAACAATGTCCAAGTAGAATTAACAGATGATGAAATTAATTTTGAGAAAAACCAATCAACTTTAACAAAAGATGTGGATATAAGTATAAAATCTGAACCACAGGATTATGACACAGATTGTACTATAGAGATAGAATCTGTAACTGGTAGTGAGCTTGTTTTGAATCCTCTTTCAAACACAGAGGATAGGATTATGGAGGCTGATTCTACTCAAAAATCCAATGCATCCACATCAGCAAGTAAGAAAAAAGCCAGAAGAGGCCCACATACCCACTTTAGAGGTGCACGTGTTTTCAAACAAAAATGCGTACATTGTCAAATTAATCTTCACTCTAAATATTCTTATACAAAGCACATGGAAAGATTTCACAGTGATAAACAAAATGGCACTAATCAAAAATCAGAATTGGAAAACGAAGAAGAGCTTGTTGAAGATTTAGAAGATGAATTAATGAGCATGGAAAAAGATGCTCCATTAACGCAAGTGCAACAAAACATTATTAGTCAATTGAAAACTTTCATGTGTTATTCTTGCGAACAAACTTTCAACGATCGTAGAAGTACACTTTCCCATATTCGTCAACATATGCCTGATTTAAGGCCATACACGTGTATTGCGTGTTTGACAGAATTCCCAGATCGCTCGATGTATAAACAACATTGTAAAATGTCATTCGAATGTGCGATGAAGATTGCACTCGTTATACCGAATGAAGGTGAAGAGAAATATTTCACTTGTAATATGTGTTTACGTCCTATGCAGAATAGGAAACAGTTGCTTAGTCATTTATCAAAACACTCGGATAAACAATACGAGGAATTAATATCTCCTACACGATCTCCTCCTAAACTAAAACCAATAACTCCCTTACCATCTCCAAAACAAGAAATAATGAAGGAGCCACACAATGAAAGTTTAAATATACCACATCCTTACAAAAACGGCGATCCTGCGCACAATCATATATGTGATTTGTGCGGTATGATTTACAGGTACAAACCTAATATGCTAAAGCACAGAGATCTTTGTCAACGTTTATCGTCTGAGGTTAGAACGTCCTACAAATGTGTTCATTGTGGCATGACGTATCTCGTGTTTAGAAAGTTTCATAGTCATATCACGGCAGATCATAAAAAGAAAGAGTTCACTTGCTCTGAATGCAACAAAAAATTCAGATCTCCTAGCGATTTCTTAGAGCATCATGAGATGCATCGAATGGCGCGTAATCAGAAACAACCTCTTCAATTGAAAAGCGATTTAATGAAGCATAAACAGAATTTATCGACGTCGTTCAAAGACTGGGATAAATTCGAAGCTGAAATGAACGCAAATCAATTATCTGATAACAATCAATACAGTTGTGCACTGTGCAATCTGGAATTCTCAACTAGAGCTGAATTAACGGAACACAGGAATCTTCATTTGAAAGTGAAAATCTATTCTTGTGTTATCTGTCGTAGCATGTTCAGTAGTGCAGGTGCTTTGGAAATTCACATGAAGGATCATGGTATAGAAGACCCGAATGAGAGAAATGCAAATATTTCGTGTGTAGAATACGGTACCGTGGAAGATGATTCACGAGATTCAAACTCAATGAATTTAAGTGCTATCTCGGATCCAGGGCCAAAACATAATAATTGTAAAAAATGCGGAAGACAATTCTCAAATACTGCGAATCTCAAGAGACATATAAGGAACATTCATCCGATCGAAAAACCTCCTTACAATTGTTCTCATTGTTGGCTATCATTTAAGAGCAAAGAAATCCGAGATCAGCACATTACATCCGCACATTCAAAAGCTTCGAAAACTATGCTTCGATGTCCTCAATGTCCACAGACATTTGTCTTTGAAGCCAATTTAGATCTTCATTTCAAAAATCATCATAAAGATTGTCGTTTCAAATGCGATATTTGCGGTAAAGAATTTTTGAAGGAAGGCTCGTTGAAGATTCATAGAAGTTGGCACAATAGAGAAAATTATGGACAGAGTTTGAAATTTATGAAGAAAGAGGATCAGAAACCTTTGGTAGAACCTAAAAAAGAAGAATCATTCAATACGAACGTTAGTGGTCGGCCGGCTAGAGCACGAAAATCCTATCCGAATTCATCTCCGACAAAACCTAATGGCAATTTCCAATGTCAAGTTTGCAGTGATAAGTTTAATGATGTAACAGAATTGAGAAAACATTTATGGGATGTGCATTGTGCTCGTAACAAAAGCGAGAAAAGCTTTTCAGGTGATGAATTCCAATGCGAACTTTGTACGAATATTTTCCCTGATAAGGAGACGTTGAACGTACATATACAATGGCACAAGGCTCAACCCATCTTGAGTGACATTCGAAAGACCAATTTCCCTTGTGATATCTGTGGAAAACTTTACAGTTCCAAAAAGGTATTGGCGAGACACAAAAAACTTCATAAAGCGAGCTCCGTGGCTATTAGCAACTTTTCCAGCAATCAGCCTTTATGCACAATTTGTCATAAAGTATTTAACAGTAATCAGTCGTTACAGCGTCACAGGCTTAATTTGCACAGCAATATTTTCTCTCAACGACCTCAAACACAACAGTACAATAATACGAGAAGAATGTCTCAAGAAGAATCAAAACCTAAAAAAATAAAATTAGAAGAAGAAGATAAAAAAATACCATTTGCTATGGATGCCATGAGCGCAGGCAGAAAGTCGGTAATGTGTCACGGCTGTAAAAAATTCTTCCCTAATATGAGTGTACTGTATAAACATAAACAATTGGTACATAACAAATCTCACATGATAAGGAACATCGCGAAATCATTCACAATGGAATGTGTACCATTGCATTGCAATGATGGAAAAGTCGCATGCAACATTTGCTATAAAAAATTCTCCGGTATACCGAATCTCCGTCAGCATTTCACTGTGAAACACAAGAATGACCGGCCCAAATATAAGTATGCTTGCTCTATAGACGGTTGCAAGCTCACGTTCCCTACACAATTGACCTTAAAGCATCACGAATTATCGCATACAGTCACTATGTTCAGCTGCTCCTTGTGCAATAGACACGTGTTTAATAGAGCGGCTATGACGAATCATATGCTGACAGTGCACAACACCGTCTACGACGCCGAGAAGAACAAGAATTTCCATAGAGAGATGGATTTGAGTAGTTACGTGGTGGAAGGTGCGGTAGATGCTACTTGCCCCCGATGTAAAGTGAAGTATCCCAACAACAAGGCTATGAAGATTCATTATTTCAAAATTCACGAGGGCACGAATCAGTAGAATCTTGAATTTTTTCGTATCTGAAATAATCTGCGGGGATTCGAACAAGGCGTATAGATTTTATGACGAATCGAATATGGATGATGTAACGAATGCTTGATTCTATGGACAGAAAGACTCTGCGAGTTGAATAGGCGCTGCTTTACACATTCTTTTTTACCAAATCGTAAAGGCACACGTTAATCTCTTTATCCAACTTTAGCAATTATGATATAGTTCATAAGAGCGTGAGGAATACCTAGTATTTCCTGACGTTTATTCGTTTAGTGTGCACAATTTAAATATATATTTTTTTGTTTCGTTTTGGATGTCACGGGAGCTACTCTCTGTTGAGAATAAGGCTATGACAGGCCCGATCGATAAGTTCTGTAAATAAGGCATTATAGAGAAACCAAGAAAAAGGGAAAAAGACCTACATGGGAGAAAGAAATTGTCTATATATCTTTTCGTTCGATGTTTTTACTAAAGTTATATAGTTTTTGTTGAATGAATTTTGCATTTGTACATCAAGACGTCAGTTCTCGTTTAGTGAACACTGATATATTATTAAATCGGAATTAATAACAATATCTATTGACACGTTTCAAATCGACTAATCAAATTGATAATGAATTTTATTTAGATAACAAACATATCCAAATGAATTTTCGAAACGTATCCAAATGAATAATTGATAAGTATTATTGAGAATCAGGTTGAAATTGATGATTAGCTAGCTTATAATTTCAATCATTGATTTGAAATGTGTCGATTCGAATGGTGCATTCGACAAAGAATGAAATATCATGCTGCGTGATCTCTATATGAGAAATATTTACATAGTATATCCTATTTTGTCTTTTGTTTTCTTTCATTTTTTATTATCGAGCAACGATAATTGTTTCCATTGCGATCCGTAGAAACGTGACAACTGGAAAATTGTGCATTCCTGAAAGTTAGAAATGAAGGAGTGACATATTTTTTAATGATATGTTTAAGAAGATGGTGGATGATTGGGAGGGGTGAGCGATAAGGGATGAGGTTAGATTATGCACTTTATTTTACTAAAACTGCTGTTTTCTGGATGCTAAAATGGAGAACTCTGTTGTTCTAGATTTTATTATTATATGCATACTTGTAATGTATGCAATGTATAAGCTGTAGCGTTTTTTGCATATAGTGAACAAATAAAGGGAGAACTAATAAGTGTAGATCTTCGATTTTCCAAGAATCATTCGATGTTTTCCTCGTTCACAGGATAATGCTGTGAGGATAGTGTTTTTTTATATAAGTTTCGAATCACTGTTTTCTATTTTAAAACTGCTTATAATAATTAGGCTATCATGTTCCTCAGTGAATACATCTCGCATTTATGGAGATAGTTCCCGTGGTGGCCATCAGAGGGCTGCCGTCGATTCATGGTCTTGTTGAGTTTTAACCTTATATTCTTTCATATAGATTCACAAATCTATTTTATATCGTAGATATTGGAAAGATATTGGAAAAAGTTTTTTTCAATAGATTTTACCAGATGTAATCATGTTGATTACGCATCTCTCGTGTATGTGCGGTTAGTTATCTCAATCATAATCATTGCTTCATGATACTGCAGATGGCAGCCATCTTGAGCAACAAATCTAGTGAGAAAGAACCTGGCCAGACAAAGACCAGGCGTGAACAGCTCGATCGGTTAGAACACTCACAACTCACGGATGAGAAATAACCAATTTAGAATCGCGGTCCAGCAATTTGGTTCTTTTTCTATTTGTGCTAAAGCGGTAGAGGGGAACAATTTGACTTCTTGTACTGATTTTAGATCAGACTAATCGTAGATCTTCTTTTTTAGCGTACAGTGTATTCATGCATTTGCAAACACGCGTTAAACGTAACAAGTAGGTAGCTTCTCTGATAAAACTTCTACCAGATATAAAAGATGTACATAATGATTTACCTTGTTTATCAAACTATCATTGTTAGTTAAGGTTTGCTCGTAATTACAGACATGTGTTCGTGGATAATAAAACACGATATTGAAATTTCGCACAATATCTGCGAGTAATGTACATATAGACTACGCGCGTATTGTTTATCAATATCTTATGTAACTGCAAAATGTTTGTGCTATTCGAAAATACTTATCTACAAGCTGTGTCTTTAAGTCTGGACAAATCTTTAAGTCACTTAGTTAATTTTCTAATATAGCGATTCAAACAATCAGATTCCTAATTGCTTTTGAACAGTATTTAGTGATTAGTATTTGTTGTTGACGGTGCAAGGGAAAAAAGGAAGGGCATTCCGCTCATTCCTCCTGACTCCATCTTTGATGTTTCCAAAATCCTCCCATTGTTAAGTTTTTAGCGGAAAATGTTGATATAATAGTAAGATATGTTGTAGCATTATATGTTTTATTACATCTTACGCTTAGTTTATGTCCACATCTAAGGTCAGTTGATCTTGACATAGTCTATCGTTTATTCTTTCTGTCACGCAATGCTGTATGATTTGATTTGTAAATTTAACATTTTCGGTAAATAATGAAAATATCGTGTGCCCCATTTTAATGATTATGTATATTAGGACAAAATATACAGGGCTAATGTTTTTTCATGTATTATTTATGACTTCTAGTAGTGAAAGAAAGTTGCGGTTTAAATTCACAATTCAATGCAAGTCAAATTCTTCGTAAGGAATCGTAAATCAATCTAAATGTTTTATGTAACGATAGTTTTTTTTAGTGAAAAGAAGGAAACATTTTATAAAAATTCTTCTATTTGTTCAAGACTAAAGGGGAAAACATTTTTTAAATGAAAAATTAGAAACGATCAAAACGATAAACCTCAATAATTCGTTTGATGAAAATTAATTGTTGTATGCTTAATATATTGAAATATTGAATGCAAGTTTCTTTCACTATTAGTGACTATTAGTTACACAATTTTTGATTTTTTTTTTCATCCTTATTATTGTATATCTCGTGTATATTAGAGAAGGTGGGTCCATTGAATGTGAAATCAGTGTGTCGCGCATTCGTTCCACCCGCCATTTTCTCAGAAACGCACTGTATACATCCATTATCGTTAAATAATATGAATTTAATATAAATTTTATCCTTGACCGCTAGAAACGTGAATGTTTTTTGACATTACGAAACGAATGAGGAAAATTAAAGTGCTATTCCTACTATGGAATATTTGCACGTCCAACCATTCCGTCTATCGTTAAGTTTCTTACACCAGATGTTTGAGACGATAATTACGCTCCCGCAATGATCGTTCTACGTAACTACGATAGTTCCGAACTTTTCAGACGATAATTGTATATCTGTAATGAAGGAACAATATATAGAACCTATATAGAACCTATATTTCTGTACATGGAATGTTTTTGTACAGTGTCTTTTTATGTGGATCATGAAGAAAGACTGTAAAGATGAAATTCATTTCATGCATTTTTAAACGATCCGGGTTTCGAAACCCGTTATCGAGCAACGTAAATCGTAAATATTCGTTATTTGCTTCTTAATGAAGAGTGCACAGTTTCGATGTTTAAGAAAAAAGAAAAAGGTGCAATGTGATGCATTCTTCGAACGGACGACAATGTGAGAAAACTGTGAAGCACTACTAAACCATTATGCAAATACACGAACGTTGCAATTCTTCTTTTTTTTTTTTTCGCAGATATTTATCAATATTATACATATTATATATATATATATATAAATGTGTGTACATTGCATCGATATATAGTTACCTCTATTGATTTCAATATCTCCTTTGGTATAAGTATTGTAGAATCCGAAGAAAAGATGAGGGAACATTTTCTTTCTCTGTCTTCTTCGTGAAGAGAGACATCCATCAAGCGCGCAATGATTAAATTTAAGGATTATATTATATTATACTACGATAAGTTTTAAATATAAATGAATTTTACATTAAAAATAAAGTTCTACGAAGGAAATACAAAAATTTTTATTCTTTAAAAAGGAAATGTACACAGGGATGTTCCTCGAACATATCAAGCGCAAATATATAAATTACATACATTGATTTAATCAATAAAGTTATATCACGCCCTAACATTCCTATCTCTTCGCCGATCCAGTCTTAAGACACGTCGGAAGACACGTAATCGATACAATAATGTAATTATTGACGATCATAAGACGATGATAATGGCGGATACAACTGTGCCTCGGTTCCACTGTTTTCAGTGGCGTTCTATGGTGTCATAGACGAGCGAATAGCCGCTAAATTACACACCACGTGCAACGAGCGCGCTCCTTATGCGGCTTTGTACCGCAGCCATCCTCGTCGGAAGAAGCTATGCACGTGTGGCACATTGAACGCGCACGTGCGCTCGGTGTCTTAAAATTGTTGTGAGAGTCCTTTTTGCGCAGGCCACCTGCCGCATATTTTGAAAGAGGATGCGTTTTCAATTTTTCGAAAGTGATATTGCTGCCACTTTCGTGACGTGAAATATATTTCCCTTCACATATTTTTCTTCGTTTACGTATTATATATTATATGCGAAATTTATCGTTCATTTTTGATGATCGATCCTTTGCATAAAACGAGGATCTATGTATATACCATTGACGAATAGATAAAAATTTGAATAAATTGCGGTTAATTTAAATTTTTACAGAATGTACGAATATATTTTTCGGAATAAAATTAAAGTATGGAATAATCGGAACGAGGAAAATCAATGCGTATTCGATATCGAATCAAATGTATTGTGACGTAGTTTATTGATCAGTTTAGAAGTCGAGATGTCGACCGTGTGGCATAATCTCGAAGGAGATTCGACAATCTAGGAACGTGTCGGAAATTTATTCATAAGCTCGTGTCATCTTTTCGGTAAAATCGGCAATTCGATCGATTTTATGCATCCTCGTCCACGTTTACACGATAAAGTTTCGTGTGTCGCGGTCGAGCGAGAAATTGGGTCGGCCAACTAGAAATGAATGACATCGAAGCAGGCTAGAAGGTCACGTGGGCTGCTCCATTTCAATCTTGCAACATAATCACGCACACGTTTCGAGCCTAGGCATATACACTTGTTTAATAGCTTCAACGTAAGTGGCGTAAGATTTACGCGTTCGATTTATCGTAACATTAAACCAAAGATATTTGTTAATTGATCTCGCATTTTTTTTTTTTTTTTTTTTTTACAGATGTTTCGCCTTGTATATAAATTCTTGAAATCGATGGAGGGATAGAATAGAATAGAAAAGATACGTATCTTTACGAGTCTTTAAAGCGCTGTCGTCGTCGCTGATGCCATTTATACTTTGACTCAAGCTGCTCGAAGTGACGATACATCAAATTGACTTAGATTCCCTTAATCAAAGACACTGGTATCTGTAACGCTGTTAATTATTCAGCACGCGAGAGTTAGGTCACAGGCTGTTTATCGATTGGATTTTTAACTAGCTCGGTCGCCGTACACACGCCGAGTTTCTAATCGTCGTATCAGCGTTCTAATATGGTTCACGTTTAAATGCAGTCTTTTAACTCTATTGAATTAGAATTACAATAATTGGCATGTTTCGAGATGAATAGAAAAGATCACTTACGTTATTAATTCGTTATTAATAAGTTACAAAAGAAATCTTACGCCATAATATATTCGATATCTAATCCAAAGATAGCATTCTTCATAAGTATAAATTTTAAAATAGACTTTACATAACAACGAAGAGTAATAATCATCAGATTATTCATCACCAATTATTGCTATTAATATTACCATTTGTCGATACCATTTTTGAGTTGTCTACTTTGCACAATTAGACAAAAAAAAAAAAAAATTAAATCCTACCTTAAAGTAATGATGAATAAAATACTTTTTATCTACGAACATTCTTTTTTCTAAAAAAAAAAAAAAAAGGACTCAATTTTCACACATCGTTTTTGCAACCTTGACTTCTTCACACTATTACGCGCGTAAGACCACGCGTAACCATCCTTGACCCCCGACCATAATTTCAAAAGAACGGACAATTATGCGAATTGCGCAACAAACAGTCCTGAGCGATCGAAGGAGATCCGTGGACGCGTTCGTGATCGAAATCGAGGAAGGGCTGGTCGAAACTCGCGTGTTCCTCGATTCGAGGAACGTTGACCGCTCGTTCACCGCGATTACGTCATCGTAGATCGTATCCAACCGGGATTGAATGGAAACGAGGCGTCGTCGCTCGATCGATGATCCATCGATCAACCGTGACTGGGGTGTTCGTTTCTACGACGTTGGCTACGCGTTTAATCATTTCCTCTGGTGTACAATGGACGGTACTTTAATCGGGTAAGATGGTATGGACGTACTATTCGAGACTGCTCGATTAATTAGGCGCCCTCGAGTGACACGCCGCTGCCTCGCCGTTTAATTAATCGATTATCGAGTGTCCTGAACCCTCGTTCGATTCTCCACGATCTGTGGGACCTTGGTGGATCGGGCCACGAATTTTGATGAGAGATAAATTTAGACTTTAATCTTGCTAAGTTGCCGGAGTTGTGTGAAAACAAGTAGGAATCTTTGTAGCGTAGAAAAATATTTATTTGGAAATTGTTTTTGAAAGATATCAACTGTGATGATGGAAAATGTCGAAGGAAAAGCACAGAAAGTAAATGAAAGTAAAAGGGAGATAGAAATCTGGATAAATTTTTTGGAAGGATACGGTGGAACTTTAATTACTATTAACCGAGTTTAAATGTCAATCAGAATTAAATCTCGTCAAAGAATTCTCGCGCAGATGCTTCGTAATAAATTGAAATTAAACGTTGAGTTGGTGGAAATGTCATTTTTATCGAACGTCGGTACGAGAAAGGTTTCTTGCTGGCTGGAGGCGTTTACTCGGGAGGGACGCTGGGATGCAAATGCATGATCGATCGGTGATTTAATCAAAGAAAAAAATGTCGGTCGCCCGAGGTGGCCGGTTTATTAGCGGCGACAGCGTCCAAACAGCTTTTGCCTTTCGTAACGACTTTTGTCTGGCACCGGATCACCGACGAATAATTGCGTAATATTATTTTTTTTCTTTTTCTCCCTTCTTAATGAACATCGATCCATCTCTCTCCGCTACTCGTCCTTTTCCCCCTCCCCATTTTATTTTTCCATTCTTAATCTTCTACTTAATTTTTCTTTTATTGCCATTTTCTTATTTAACAATGTTGCAATTTCTCAGAACTCAGTGTCGTAACTGGTTTTCCAAATTTTCTTCGATCGCTTCGTATTTGGCCGAGGAAAGGGGAGCGTTGGAGCGAAAGTTTGATCCTATCGTTACTCCCCTGGGTTTTCTTCCTCGGTTGAAGAAGTTTCCAAGGAGGAAAAGATTCACCTCGAACGAGTGAACTCGATCCCATTTTCACTTTTTCTACCTTCTGCTGCCATCCGATACGGTGACAAGGCGAGCGTTGATCATGCGTGGCGCGAAACGAGTCTCTTGCGACACTTCCACGCTTATGTATCCCGCGTGGAAATCTCGATCCGAATCGAAGGACGAGGATCCACGATTGCGATCCATCTTTCGAATTCTTTTTATCTATTTTTAATTTTTATATTTAATTCTATATTTTTTTCCCCCTTTTCATCCAAGAGTCGTGTTGCGCGGATGCTTGGAAAATCCTTTTAAATTCGAAGGACGAGGATCCACGATTATGATTCATCTTTCGAATTCTTTTTATCTATTTTTTTCTTTCTCATCCAAGTGTCATGTTGCGCGGATGGTTGGAAAATCCTTTCGAATTTGAAGGACGAGGATCCAAGATTGTGATTCATCCTTCGAATTCCTTTAGATATTTTCCTTCTTTTCATCCAATGAATCGTCATCTTGCGCCGAATGGTTGGAAAATACTTTTGAATTCTTTTTCCTGTTTCCAGAGGAGGAGAAATATTTCTATAAGATTAAATTATAAGAAAAATTTACCCGATTACGACGTAAGATAATTTTGTTTCTTTTGAATATTCTTCTGGAATATTCTCCATTTAATGGAGAAACGCGATAATTATTCCGTAATTCCAAGGAATCCTCGATTCGCGCGAAGCCCGATTATCCCAAAATCCGCGTAAAACCAGCTCTTTTTTCCGCGAATAATTGGAAACGGCGATTCGGCCTCGGGACAAATCGAGTTATAACGTCTCGGCACGCCGCCATTCGCAGATTTTCTGATAATGCGATCGGCAATTATAACAAACCCGGTAAACCTGGTCACGGCCGAAGCTGCTTCTAATCGAATTATATTTCTTCCAGCTTTGAAATCTAACGTAACGTGTATGCAAAGAAAAAAAAAAAAAATTCATTACGACATTCGACGTGTTAACTTTTCCTGTCAAGTTGACATTGAAGCGCGAATATTCTTCCGTCGTGCTCTCATTTCATTCAACGTGACCGCAAGATATTCATTGGAAAGCTAAGTTTTTCCTTCCTTCCAAATCGTTTATATCGATTGGATCGTTATTCGAAACGAGTCGTCCCGTTTTGTTGGAACGGTATTCAAAATTGGATCTTGCGAGCGAGTCAGAAAATTTGGAACTCTTGATTCTCATTTTTTTCTCAAAATAAAAATGTTTTTCGAACGGTCTAGTATCATCGAGGTTTTCTTCGAGGAGGGGAAAGGAAAGAAAGAAGAAAGCAAGAGTAAAAGAAACGGAAAATTAAGCATTAAAACGGCTCACGTTGAGCCAGTTTCGCGTCTGTTTTGATCGACACTTCAACGACCTCGCTCTCAATGCATCACAGCGTGATGCACATGCACTTCAGTCTCCTCCAGTAATTGCATGATCATTTCCCATTGGTCGCCGCGGCGCGCTCGATTTATGGCGAACTATTATTCCTGTTGATCGTTTCCACCGTTGATTCCTACTTTTATTTTCATTTTCAGCTTTCTGCTACGTCGCTCCTCTCGCACATTTACCTTAATAACAGCAAAG